GGGGGGTCTGTAGATCACGCAGGCCTGGGGAGGGCAGGCCGTCGACCCCCAAGACGCAAGCAAAGCTCCCCTCAACACGGAGCATCGATTTGCTGCGGTGCGACGCTCGGCTTTTGCAGCGCCTCGCGCCACGCCACGCCCTGTTGCCTGACGGCCTCTCGCTCCCCCTCGCTCTCCCGTTATTCCAGCTTCTTCTCCCTCCCGCGACGGATATCGGCTCCCTGGGACCAATTTTTGTTTGTATCGGAGCTCCCAGGAACGGCTGACGTGTCGGGCGTCTCAACGATCAGCACCGCACCACCCGGCGGAGCTGAGGAGGAGCCCCGCGCGGGAATAAAATCGTTATTGGTGCATTTCACAAAAAGTGCGTGATCTTCGAACAGGAAAAAAAGAACTTTTTCACCTCGGACTCGGAGGGGAACGCGGCGGCGCTGGGCAATAAGATCGGCTGATCCGGGAGGTGACAGGTCTCTTCCGATCTCGTCGGCGGGAGGTGACCGGGAGGGGACAGGTCCTTCAGAACTGACCACGTCAGCGACCGGGAGGGGACATGCCCGGACCACGATGTCGGGGGCTTGCCCGGGAGGGGGACAGGCCCTCTCGAGCTTGCTAGGATGCTGACCGAGAAGGGATGTTCGGACCTCGCCAAGCAGGTGACTGGGAGGGGAATAACTGTTCCGACCTCGCCAGTGAGGTGACCGGGAGGGGACAAACTGTACCGTACCGACCTCGCCTGTGAAATGCACCTTACAGGGTCTGGAGAAGACAAATCTCTAGGAGCCGCCCTCGCCCTCCGCCCTCTCTAAACGCCGGTATGCAGAACATTTTTCCAGCGCGCTGGCACGGCAGAGGCATCGCGGGTAGGGCTGTGCGACCGGCCCAACACTCTGAACACTAATTTGCACTGAACACTGGTAAAATAAGTATTTAATTATGCACGTCAATTGAGTGGCTGAGCGGTAGCGGAGTCTAGATTACCCCCCTGACCGAAAGAGTTTCGTGCTGTCTGTCTGTTTGTCTGTCTGTTTATGTCTGTACGACATATCATTTCGAGAAGGAATGACTGTAAGACTACAACATCGCGGTTGTAGAATCTGTCACAATAATATTTCGGAGATAATATCCCCCCCTCAGTATGATAATTTGCGTGTTTCTCATGCATTTACATCATGTATTTTATCCTCATTTGGGGTCTTCCTACTGATTATGTCAACAAACCTATGATACTATGATCCTATAAAAAACCTATGAAAAGGCGTTAAAGCTCCAAAGGCATTACAATTTATGTTTTTTCGAAATATTTATCTCCCATGGATCAAAATTGGATTCTGAAACCTATTTTCGTAATCTACGCAGAATTCCGCATCAAACGAGCCTACATGATGGGGTTCTGTTCAAAAATGGCATAGATTGATTTCATATTTTGTACTTTTTGACACGTTTTTTCATTTACTGACAGCTTATCTGTACCCTATCACATGTAGACTCGTTTGACGCGGAATTTTTCGAGAAATGCGATACTGAATCTCAAAATGTGATTGGTTTGCTCATATAGAAGATATTTTGAAGAAACTGAAAATATACTCTTAGCACCCCTACAACGCGCTAAAACGAGTTTAACACCCCTGGAAAGGTAGGACATCACACCTTTGTTTTTCCAGGGTGCGGCTGCATAAAATTCTGCATGATTATGCACAGTTAAACGCCTAAGGGTTTCGTGTGAACGCATCCGCGCTGGCTACAAACTTATTAAGTTACGGATAGACCGTAAGTCTTTCCGTATATATTTTGCTGATTGCAGGAAAACAAATAATATGGTCATAACTTTTACTCTGGTCAGTTATTCATGTCTGTCCCTGCGACTGACATGGTCTCCGTACCTCGTTTTCGTTATTTCCCTTCACCCCCGACACTGTTTATGAAAACTGTTCACAAAACCCTCCGTTCTTAAATGGGAACGGAATGCCCGTAATTCTTAACTACGGTTTTTTCCCGCACTGTTAAAAGATAACGGTGAATTTCACCGTAAGTTACAGTGGACCCTGCAGCACTGGCATTACTGTAGCTTACAGCGAATTTCACCGTGAGCTATACAGTAAATGGTACCGTAAGCTACGGTGAATATCGCTGTTAGTTACTACCGTGATTTCCCTGACTCACCGTAACTTACAGTGATATTCACCGTAGTTTACCTCGCTATTACTCTAGCTTACGGTGAAATTCGCCGTAAGCTACGGTGCTGCAGGGTTCACTGTGACTTGCGGTGAAGTTCATCGTACGCTTTTAACAGTGTGTATTTTACCGGAACGGATCATTCCCTGATAAACTACAGGGTGGCCCACAGACCCCTTCCTTTATTTTGCTTATATTGTACCGGATGCAGGCGTGCGGACGGGCTTGCCCACCGTCGCTCACCGCGACGCCTTATGACCCCGTGCGAGTATGCAACCCGCCCGCACGCCTGCATCCGGTACAGTATAAGCAAAATAAAGGAAGGGGTCTATGGACAACCCTTACAACGGTACATTCCGTAGCCATTTACGTAATAAGCTACGGAGATTTTATCAATTACGATACGCCACCATTGCGATATTGGAGAGCCCACGGTGAGCTCAAGGATTGTGCCGTCTGGACTGTCTTCTAATCCGCTCAAAAAAGGGTGCACACTAAAAGCGTATATGAACATTGTTATTTATAGCTTACTGAGTTCTATGTACGTGCTCTGCTTACGCGTTTTTAAATACGCCGGTGTGAACAAATTTGTTCATACTGGCGTATTAAAAAATGCATAAGCAGAGCACGGACACAGAACTCAGTAAGCTTTGAATAAAAATGTTCATAAGCTTAGTGTGTAAGAGGGGTGATGGAAACGTTCCGAAAACGGTTGTAAATCGCACTCCAGCGCCGCTTTGCAGCAGTAGAAACTCGTGTGCGGGTTATTCTACACTCTCATTTCCTTATGAATGCACTCTGCTAATCCAAGTGCAGAACTGTTGTAAGTGTAGAACGACAACGTTCTGCAGTTCCAAGTGCAACTTTCTAGCCAGGGCTCCCAGCCAGAAATGCATCGTCGAAATTTGGTCTTTTTCATCGATCGACGCAAAATAGACGTCGATTCGTTGGTTTTTTGTCACCCAAATCGACGTCTTGTGTGCTTTCTTAGTTATACAAACGTCTTTTTTTCGTATTTCAAATAGCACCAGTCTGTAAACAGACACGTGCTCCTCGTATTACGAAGCCAGGTCCTCCATAATAAAAGTTCGTTTGCATTATTACAAATGTGTGAAATACGAAGAGCAGTTCTCCGTAAGAAACTTACAGTGTGCGGTCTCTCCCCCCTTCCTCGGGGCTAGGGTTGGCTGGCCATAGGGCTGCCCAGGGCCCAGACCAGCATGGCTGTGTTCCAACAGGTTCTCAAAACGCGTTAGCGCTCTTCCGTATCCGCAGTGGCGACTGGCGACCTACCGGGGAGTTCACTGGCGCTCGGAGTGCGGCATTTAACCTTTCGCAATTAACGTATACTTTTTTTCAACCTTTTTGCAAAGTCGCATCCTTCGCTGTCCTCTGTTGTATCCCACACATCTAGGAGTCAGGCTGGAAGCGTTCTTTATCCGCCCCCCTTTTTCTTTTCTCTTTCCCCCCCCCCCCTCCCCTTCCCCATCCCACGCCTCCGCTCGCTTCCTTACCTGGACCTAAAGCCGCAGTCCGCCCCGAGACCATCCACTGGACGGGGGCTGGACACGGCCCCCTTCTCCTGCTCCACCCTTGGGACCGGTAAGACTCCCCCCCCCCCTCCTTTACTCCTCTCTTCCCCCTCGCCATGCCCCTCATCGCCTCGTAGATCCATGTCGGTCGTACTGGGTCGAAGGGATGGAGGGAGAGGGGGATTTTGCGGCCGGTGGGTTGTTGTGACAAAGGGCACCGGGAGGAGGGACACACGTCTTCTAATTGGGCCCCGAGGGTGAGGCCGCGGAGGGCTCGGCTGGCACTGCTCCGCGAGCCCTGCGCAGCTGTGCTCGGCAAGGAGTGCTGGCGGGAGCACGCCAGTATGCCTAACGTGAGCCGGGCGCAAGACAATCTGCTGGAAGCGACAGGTAATGCACCTTCCCACTTTTAGCGCCCTTCAGTAGCCCAGAGTGTCCAAGGATACCTTCAGAGCAGACGGTGATAGCCCGGGCCTTGGACAGCCGCAGGGTAAGGATAGTGTTCCGGGCATTGTCGCTGGGCAGCCGACATACGCCCCTCCACCGTGCATACGTCACACGTCGTAGGCAGTAGCGCCACCCGCCACGGTGCCCACCTCACTCCACTCACCCGTGAGGTTGTCCGGTGCATCTATCCGAGGGTGCCAGGGCGCGGTGCGTCGCCGTGGACTAGGACAACGCCCGGGTGCCCATCCTGGTGCCCGACGCAGACTCTCCCAGTCGCCGAGGCCCGGCCCCGGGGGCGGTGGGCGGTGTGCGCTGCCGCCGCCGGCGGGGCGCTCGGGGGGCGGGGGCGTGACGCGGGGAGTGGGCGGCGGCGGCGGGCTGGTCCTGTGTCACCGCGGTGAGAACGGACCTGGCTCGCGCGGCCCGCGGCCGGAGTATCCTGGACCCCCGCGGCGGAGCTGCGCGGCGAACGGGGCAGCGGCGGAGCTGCGCTGCGCTGCTGAGCGCGCTTAGCTCGGTGTCACGCGGCACGGAGCATGGCGCAGCCCGGCACAGCCCCACCAGCTCACGGCACCAGCGCCACTGGCACCGCCTGGGCACCGCCAGGGCACCACAGGCGAGAGCGGCCGAGGCGAGCCGAGCCGAGCCCCTGCCGAGCCCAGCCGAGCCCAGCGGGGCCGAGCGTGACGTCACGGCCGCCCGCGGTATGAACGGGACCGCGCCAGGGGGTGGCTTCGCCCGGCTGCGCCCGCCCTGGAAGTGCGAGCAGGACAGATGCGGGCGGCTGGGCCGGCGCTGCCAACCCCGCCGCCTGAAAAGGCACCACAGCGACCACTACGATGTGCGGGGGAGGCGCCTGGGGCTCGGGGGCCGCGAGCCCAGCGCCGTGTGGCGGCGACCGGCACGTGGGCTGTGACTTATAGGTGCAAGCCGAGGGGACGGGCGGGGGCGGGTACCGCGCGGTGGGCGCTTTGAGCCGTGAGACCCACTGGGCTGTGAGCTCTACAAATAAAACAAAGGCGACATCCAATTACTTAACAACAGCGTGAAGCAGAATGCTAAAACCGTGGCCACATACTGCTCTGTGCATGTTCTGTTCTTGAAAAGTCGGAGCGGTATTCTAGTCGGGTGGGCCGAGGTGTAGGTGGCCAGCGCCCGCGCACACCCCGGCCCGCCCATCCATTAGAACACCCGCCGCGGCCCCCGCCTCGCCTTGACACCTGTGGGTGCCCCCCCCCCTCCAACCCCAGAATCGCTCCAACCCATCAATAATAATATCCTGCGCACACTATACGCACTTTGTTTACGCGTTGTCGTGAGCGGCCCACCATCGAATCTCCGCTCCCGTGTGCAGTACGTAAAAGGAACAAATGGGCAAGGAAAACCGAAATTCCGATTCTTGCAATCACACAAGTCCGTGTCAGTGACAACTGCCTCTGAATTACACAACTTCAAAACATTGTCACGTGGCTAAATATCGATTTTAATCAGTTCATTGCATTCTATGAGTTTCATCAAAATTGCTGCATTTCATATTATTGTTTTGTGGTCAATAATTGTCTGCGAGAGTTGCGCTATATCTGCCAATAAAGAAAATCAGCAAATTTTGGATGAAATATCGTGAACGCGATGCGGCTGCTCTTGTAGACAGGCGCAGCAGGAACAGGGCACGGCAGGGCCATTGAGACGCCCCCTCACTCAGCCGCGCCACGCCACGCCACGCCTCGCCACGGGGCCTCGCCCCCTCCCCTCGCGAGCCCTTTCACCCGCGTACTCCAGTCAACATAGCGGATGCGGGATGGGACGAACCGACAATAAGGGTGGGGGCCGGG